GATGGATACCTTTGTAATGATCAAGCTCCTTCTCAACTTCGTCTGCTACAAAAGAATGGCCATGAGGTGTGTCTTTGGATGCGACAATTTGGTCAAAAAAGTGCACAAAAGGAAGAAAGATGGATACCTTCGCAATGAGCAAGCTTCATCTCCGAAGGTGTGATTTTGACTGCAAAGAAGAATAGAATGGAGGTGCGACTAAGGCTGAAAAGAATAACAATGGGGGAGTGTGACTTCGGATGCAATAGGAAGGAACATCATTTAAGGAGGCAGTGAATGTCATCGAAGGAGGCGAGCGAAGTCTAAGTGTTGAAGGGCAGAGGAGAGAGATCAAACAAAATGAAGAAATGAAACAAATACCCAATCAGTTAGTTAGATAGGGTAGTTTTTGTCAGATTTGTGATAGACATTTTGCCGTAAATTTGGCATGGATTTTCCATCTCATTTTTGCTGCAAAGTCACTGCAAATAAAATGACGAAAAATTTCATCGCAATTTTTGACAAAAAAATTCCATAACAATGTCCTCCACATGCTAACTTTCTTGTAGTGAAATTCAAGAATAGCTTGATGTAAAGTAGTCCACTAATCTAACGGTATTGCAATCCATACTCTATCCAGAAATCATCTCAGCCCTTAAAACTATTGCAGGAATCTTAACCTTCACTCAAAACAGCATTTGTATTCACTGGATATTTAGTAAGGAATAAAATGAAATGATGCCCAACTCATTGTTTCAATGTTTTTCCCGTCATATAAATGTTAATTATTTGTTTATATTGGATTCAAAATTTTCCATAGAAGATAGCATTCTTTATTAGCAAACAAACTCAAGAGACCTAAATGCGAGAACTTGTGATAGGTATGAAAAGAAGAAGAAGAAGATTTTTGAAAATAAAATGTTTTACTAGCTCAATATATAGGATTTCAAAGATCATGGGTCAAAAGATAAAAAAATATTATCCTTTTTTTTGTTATTTTATTTTTAGGGATATGATAGCTATATGGATGATTTCACAAAAAAATATAAAAATAAATAAATGAGACCCAATACGAACTGCTCCAGACACGTGTCTTGATCTAATAAGTTATTGATATGATTGTTGCTCTTTGGTCTTTGGGCAAGTTATCTTATGCCGAATGTTCATGGGTGAGTAGATGAAGATGAGTTCTTAAATGGGTCGAGTTAGATAGAAAGTTGTCAACGAGTCCTTTGGTAGTGTTGGGGGCTTTTTGGATGATGTTTTAATATTATTTTGATATGAAGGGAGAGTTTACGTGAATTGTATGGGTACAAATTTCATAACAGGTGAAGCATGAGAAAGAAGGTTTATGCCTTTCTTGTGGTGATCCTTCCTTGTGGCAAGGCTGATGAATTCTAGTGATTGATCATTAGTCGAGCTAATGTTGAGTTGCTTTGGGAGGGTACCTCCTGCTAGAGGGATGAGTTCTCAAAGTCTAGGGAGTTTCATGTGAACCTTAAGTTTTCTCTGGCTTGAATATTGGATTATTTTGTAGTAATGGTTGAAGGTGACCATCATTGGATGAGTCTTACTTCTATGATTTATCTAATCTGGGTCCTATTAAAACCTATAAAATACATATGAAACATCCGAAAAGATATGTACGAATATATATTTTTATTTCCTCGATTCACTTGACCTTGTAGAGGCAGACTTGTAAAAAGTAAAAGTGAAATAATGATGAGCAATTATTAAGGTTGCCAAATAGTTAAAGGAAAAGTAGATCCTTTATGAAGACTCTCTCTAGGTGTGTGCCTCGACAACCCTAAGACATCTTGGATCATCTCTGTCAATCTTTTTTCCCTCTCCATGAGATCACAAATGGCTTAGGCTCTTCTTCTTTCCTCCATCAAGATTTTTTTTTGTTATGATCACTGCTAGCATGAATTTGTGCTCATCACACCTTCAGGATGTTAGATTTAAAATTTTCCTTGTAAGATACTCGATCATACTAGCAAGCAAACTCAAATGACTTGAACTCGAGAACCTCTCATGAGTATGGAAAAAAGATTTTTTTTAATAAAATGTTTTACTAGCTTAATATGATGTATAAGATGTGCCAAATGATCCAAAATATGCCTCTTCACCTTTTATTTATAGAGGTCTGAGAGTTACAAGCAAAGCTACACCAAACATAATAAAAATATAATGATAAATGAGATCTAGCACAAGCTGCACTAGAGACGTGTCTTGATCCAATAGTCGCTTCGTGTAATTGTTGTACTTTCACACAAATCTTTAGTCGTGCGACGATTTACCTTGTGTTGAGTGTTCGTGGGTGAGTTGGTAAATGTGAGTTCTCAAATGTGTTGGGCTATATAAACAATCATCAACAAGTTCTTTTCCAGCATTGCTGACCTCTTAAATGAAGTTTTGGGGTGTTTTGATATGAAGTGCGAGCCAGTGTGAACTATATTGGTTCCAAATTTCATAGTGGGTTGAGTGTTAAGCAATAAATTTGCATTTTTTTGGGTGATCCTTCCTTGTGGTCGAGTTGACCAATTCCATTGATGGATCACCGACTGAAGTGACAACGAGCCTCTTACTAGAGGGATTAGCACTCTAAATATGGGAGTCTTCTATGAATCTAAAGATTTCTCTAAGATATAATTTTCCTCGGATGGCTTTACTGAGTTGGGTTGAATCCCATAGCCTTCATGTAGCAATGGTTGGGGTTGAACATCCTTGGATGAGTTTTTATTAGTATGGTTTATTGGGTCCGAGTTCTACTAGAGCTTATAAAATACCTCTGAAACACCCAAGAATATATGAATGAGCATACAATTTATATGTTATTGTTGCATCCTGGAATATTCGCAGTGGTGGAGAAATATGAAGTTTAACTTCTTAGCATTACACAAAGATCCAACACACAATCAGATAAGAGGGAGGGTGTAACATTCATAAGAGACACTAGAGTTTTTACGTGAAAACCCTAAAAAAGCGGGAAAAACCACAGGGACCAGCCCAATTTGATTGAATCCACTAGTATTTGTAGTCGATTACAAATGGGCCCTTCCTAGGGAGAAAGCCTTGGTTTAATGTCACAAATGTATATCATATAGAGTGCATTACATGGTGGGAGTTACAATAATCAACATATAGATGCTTATTTGGTCGGAAGGACCATATTTTATAGGATATAGGTCGGAAAGATCGTAGTAGACAGGAAATCGAGGTCAAAAAGATCGTTATAGTAGGGCGGTACTATGGTAGAACCTTGGGCATCAGATGGTGGCTTGACATAAGTCCAGGCGTTAGGTGGTGGTTCGGCAGAAGTCTGAGCCTCAGGTGGTGGTACGGCAGAAGTTCGAGCCTCAAGTGTTGGTCTAGCAGAAGTTCGGGCCTAAGGTAGTGGTCCGGCGGAAGTCCGCGCCTCAAGTGGTGGTCCGGCGGAAGTCTGGGCCTCCGGTGGTGGTCCGACGGAAGTCCGAGCATCGGGTGGTGGTCCGGTAGAAGTTCGGGCATCAAGTGGTGGTCCGACATAAGTCCGGGCCTCAAGTGGTGGTCAAGTGGAAGTCCGAGCCTTAGGTGGTGGTCCGGCAAAAGTCTGGGCTTCAAGATGTGGTTCGGTTGATGTTCAGGCCTCAAGTACTGGTCCGACAGAAATCCGGGCCTTAGATGGTGGTCCGACGAAACTTCAGGCCTTAGGTTATGGTCTGGCGGAAGTCCGGGCCTCAGGTGGTGGTTTGGCGGAAGTTTGAGCCTCAGGTGGTGGTCCGACGGTAGAAGTGAGGGCCTCAAGTGGTGGTCTGGTGGAGGTGAGAACCTCAAGTGGCGGTATGGTGGAGGTGATTGCCTCAAGTGGTTGTCCAGTGGAGCAATGACGTCAGGCGGTAGTCTGGCGGAACTCCAACGGTAGTCGAGGAGGAGCAAGGAGGCAAGAGCGATCTCTGATCTCTTTCTTGAATCTCTTGGGCTTAGGTCCCCTTTCAAGAGAAAATGGAGCCCTTTTTATAGATTTTTGGAGTGACATGGCCCATAAATATGTGGTAGATCAAGGGCATATTGGGAGTGGCTTGGATGGACGGCTGATATTGAATCCCTTGATCATGGACAGCTTGATGAACATTTGAATGTCTTAGTGATGTCATAATTAAGTGATTTTGGGCTTGTTGGATTCATCTTGTCTAGCCGCTCTATTCGACTATAAGCACGTCATGTTTGCAAATCATTTGGCAATCCAAATTGTGGTTTGAACCCTCCAACAATGCTTCAGACCCTTTATTTGGACCCATGTGGGCTCGGATTGAGCCAAATTTGGTGTCGTTGGGTTCGTATTTTCGAGACTTTCAGTTTGACGATAAGTTTGCTGAAATCCAATTTTGGACGATCCCAATTTTAATTTTGGAAGTTTCGAGATTCGTGCCCAATCAAGATAATTTTTTGATGATATATCAGTTATATTATTTTTTCTATATTTTATTTACTTTTAATTAAAATATTCTATCCAAACTTTAACCTTGTTTTAATGTTTGTATTTTCTTTTGTCTTTCAAAAACAAATATACGATTTAGATGGTTTGAGTTTAGCTTTATAAATAACTCCATAGGCACACGGAACCTTTCCACCATCGTCTCCGTAAAGATTTTTGTCGGTCCAAAATGAAATATACTAAATTACAAAATTATATATATTTTACACTATTTATCTTTCTTTCTCTTAAATTTCGTTGCTGCAATTTTTTTTTTTTAATTCTCATTCACTCTTTTCTTTGTCCCAATTACCTGCATAAGTTTGCTGGAACTCGTTGAAATGAACCCATTTGATTAATCAATCAATCATAAGCTCTCCAGTAAATATAATTAAAATTTAAAATTAAATGTATGAATATTAAAATTTCTAATCTTGTAATTTAGATATTTAATGATATAAATAGTATAATTTTGAGTGGTATGTCCGTAAATCCCCCTATTTTCAAACGAAATTTACTATTCGCTCTATCAGCCACTCTTTCCTATTAGAGCAGAAGAGACGGACTGTCCTTAAGCTCTGCCACTCAAAAACAACGGAAGCAGGGGGAGAGAGAGAGAGAGAGAGAGAGAGAGAGGGATGGAGGAAGGAGGAGAGGAAATCAATGCGGGGCTTCTTGTGAGAAAGGGGGAAGAAGAAGAAGAAGAAGAGTGGAAGTTGAGGAAGAGAGTGTGGATCGAGTCAAAAAAGCTATGGAGAGTCGCCGGCCCGGCCATCTTCAGCCGGGTGGTGACATACAGCATGAACGTTATAACTCAGGCCTTCGCCGGTCATCTCGGCGACCTTGAGCTCGCTTCCATGTCTATCGCCACCAACGTCGTCGTTGGCTTCAGTTTTGGTCTCTTGGTACGCCACTTCTTCTTCTTCTTCAAACATATTCTGAATAAATTTGGTTAACCATTTTAATATTTGAAGAATTAATTCAGTACCATTTCGATAAAAAAATTTGTTCAGATCTCTGCCATCCAATCTTTTTCTCCTTTATTTTCTGCAAATCCGTTGAATTTTTCTCTTTGTTATACAAATTTGTTCTATTTTGATCGCTTGCTTCTGAGAAGTTTAGGGGATCTTCTGCGTTTGCTACTGTAATTGCAGGATGTCTCTCAACCAAATCATCTGAACGTTGTTTTACTGTTCAAATAAACTCACCTTTAATTTATGATGATAAGCTGAGCTTTTTTTTTTTTCTGAAAACTTTTTATTTTTACACAGCAATTTTTTCCTTCAAAAAACAATTAATGGTTAGTTTAGGATATATTTTTCATCATAATTTTATTTAGCAATTATTTTTTATTATTTTTAAAAAATTTCACAATGAAATATTATTTTTTAATCAAAATAACTAAATTATTTCCTCCTAAATAATTTTACAAACAACTTGGTAAATATTACAATCATCCCGAATAGATTGTGAATCAAACATACAAAAAAAAGTATTTAAGTTTTTTTCACAGGAAATAACAGACGGCATAACATATAACCAAATAGACCTCAAAGATGCTGATAGATTTAAATAGTATAAATTTAGTTTGTCGTTCAGCATTTCTTGTAGCTTTGCGACATTTTCCAGCTGCGTTTTTCCCAAAAAAAAAAAAAAAAATTCTAGCTACTCTGGTTTTTCCGTTGGATTTTTGTAGAGATCGTCACGCCTATTTTTCTTGGGAATATATCACACCTTTTGCCATCCGCGTCCGCCTTCTCTACCGTCCATCCTCGCCAATGCCTCTCTTCTGTCCTTCCTACAGTTTGTTTGCTTTTTAACTCCATAATTCATTAAAATATGCCAAAATTTAATGTTTTTTTATCTTTTTTTAATGCCATTGATTCAAATGTATCTGCATTGGATGCTCTCAACCCTTAGCACGGGAGATTATTACATGCGAGGAGTTCAGATGGTAGAATCTTTCGGATTCTATGAGGATACATAGTAAATACACATATTTGCTGTGTATTTCTTGTCTACACTAACAGAACTGTCTACACTCACAGAATCTTGAGCTTCTTTCATTAGGACTCCTCCTGTAATAATTTCTCCCTTAGTAGACTCTTCGAAGGATAGCTTTTTTTTAGTAAAAATCAATTTTTTTCGGTGGGAGCGTGAAAAAAGTCATTATACACACAGCTCTGCATTGGCCTCTTGGTTAAGAGCTTAGGCTTTCAACTAAGAGGTCTAGGGTTCGAGTCTATGTGTATGCGTTGTGTGTGTGAGTTTGTTTTAAATGATCTAAATGTCCAAAAAAATAAGTCATTATTATTGTGCAAGTGTGCCATCTTTCTAGTCTCCTATTCTCTCATGGTATTCAAGGAATAGTCAAGTTGATCCTTTATCATCGCCTGAATTTTTATGTTTGCAATCAATCAATATCCAATGCATATCAATAATCAACATCTTATATTTTCAACCACCAATATTTGATATTTTTTTTTCTTTTCAGTCATATTATCTCCTACATATCAGCTAAACGTCAAGCCAATTCCTTGCAATTACCTGACTTTCAATATTCCTCATCAATAGTTATTCGATGTTTGCTAATGAATAACATTTAATGTCCGTAAGCCACCGACATTATACGCTTATCTTCCTAACTATGTGGTCTATTCTCTTTTAAGAGGAGTGACCATTTTGATCATCGCTATTTTCTGATTTTAGATATTCCTTATAAAACATCATTTAAAACAAAATAATGATTGTTGCCCATTATCTATTATACATCAATGTTTGATGCCCATCTTCCGATCACATAGTCTCCCCTCGTATTACAAAAACAATCAAACCTATTGTAAATATCACTCAGTTTTCTCAATCTTACCCATTGATAATATCCAAACTCCTATCAGTGATTAACATCTGACATCCTTCAACTACTGATATTTGATTCTCATTTCCTTGGTCTCTTCATTTTTTCCTATTAGAAGAGTGACCTAGTTCACTCGAGTTTTAAACTCGAGTTTTAAATTTCTATGTTTATTGATATCTTACTTTTACCCAATCTCCATTAGCCACCAGCATCCAACCTGACTTTAAACATTCCTTATCAACCATCACATGCAGCTACCAATGCCATCCATTCGCAAATAATCAAAATTTTGACTTTGCCTCCCCCCTCACTCAGTTTCACCTCCATTTAGGAATGTAACCAAGTTGGGTTCAACTTTTGCTTGACTCAATATCACATTCCAATACATATATATTTGTTCTATCAATCATATCTAATCACATGATATAGCTTTTAACTCCATTTTTATTATATATTTTTCTTAATCCTTTCACAGAAATATTCATATACACATTTCTAACTGGTTAAAATATAATAAGATCATATCATATGATTCATAATGATCAAATTTATAACATATCAAGAGTTACGTGGTGAAAGCTTACAAAATCAAGAAATAATGTATTTAAAAGATTTATGAGAGATAAATTTTGTTGAAATTAAAATCATAGAAAATAGAGGTAAGATGATAGTTACTTATAATAAATAGAATAAATTTTGTAAAAGAAATAACAAACGAAAAAGCCCTGTTAGACTTTCTCCCTCCTCCCTCCTCTTCTCTCCATCATTTCCATCTTCTCCTTTGATTTCTTCCCTTGCAAGAAAAGAGTGAGGGAGGTGGTGGGGTGAAATAACATAGATTTTTGAAATTATATATTGTTAGCGGCCTAATGCCGAGGCACTCCGACCCAACGTTGTAGTGTTGCATGCAAAATTCAGAATTAATGTAGAAATAGAGACTCAAATGTCGTAACGCCAGTTTTTAGTATCGCTAAGCTCTCAAACCTAGTGCCACAACGCTCACAAGCACAACGTTGAAGCACTCTAGTTCAAACATAAATTTAAAATTTAATAGTTTAAAATACTTTTTTATTTCGGATTGTTATGGAGTGTACCCTGAGTGGGCGCTTTATCGTGGCCGAGTCTAAGGGTGCAAAGGAGTCGAGTCGAGTCGAGCTCGAGCCAGAGAGTGTTCGAGTCGAGCTCGATTTTCAAATACCGAGCTCGAACTTGAGTCGAGCTCGACTCGCGACAATGTAACGAGTTAATCGAGCCGCTCGACGAGCCGCTCGATTTCCAATTTCCATTTCGGCTTCCTAGTTTCCAGCTTTGTTTCCCGCCCAATTTTTGTTTTTCCGCCAGGTTTTGATGGTCGCGACTTTGGGAAATAACTTTTTAATTTTACTTACACTCTTAGCCGAGTCTAGTGAGGTAGGTCTCTTTATGAGAGGGAGAATGTTAGTGGTTGCTATGAGGGGAGCGAGTGATTGATATAGTGTCCAAATACATGGTGAATGCTAGGCTTCTAGCTTGGTAATGAATGCCCGACTTGCCCCGTAGAGGGTGACCTTTTTGGTAGTCTCGTGCAAGTAGTGCCTCTTGATTATATTAGGCAAGTTCCTTTGCAATTTCGAGGCGAGTGGTTCCTCTCGGATCGTTAGGGGAGTTTTCCAAGTGGGCTCTTTATGAGGGAGAGTTCCTAGGTCATGATCTGCTAACTACATGTTAAATACCTATGAAACAATATGAAGTATACATTGCAGTTCTTTTTACTATTCAACTACTATAAATCAAACATGTACCGAACCGGTCTAGGTTAAGACATATTCTATTATATTACTAGTTATGCAATTTTTTCTTATGAGTACAAAATAAGTCTCTTTATTATTTCATGTTATTCCGCAGTATTGGGGTGTATCGTCATCCAGATCCGGGATGTGATATAAATACAAAAAATTTTAAAATCTCTTTATTTGAACCTTTTACTTCAATTCAACAGCCCACAACTTCAAATTTATCTCAAATTATTGAAACTTAAAAGCATCATTAGAACTGCTACCAATTTTGTATTTGTTAGGGAAAACTTCACAATTATTGTTTTGTTTTTTTCTTAACAAATAATGACACCAACCATGCTGCGCATCGGAATTGATACTTTCCTATTATCATCAATAATGTCTGAACTTTTCATAATAATTAGCTCACATAATTGTTCAAACGCAGAAAGGGGAAATTAATTCGCACCATTGAAAGCCCAATGACTCAGCAATAATTTTCTTTATGAATGTCTTGTACTTTTATGTTATATGAAAGACGAGACTCATTTATATATGCCAATTTTCATTTAATCCACTCATTTATTTAGCTATAACGTTTTACTGAGGAGCAATTTACTTAGATTACTCCTGCGGTTTATTTGATTGCTTGTAAATAATATATCTCATTTAAAAAACAATTTTTTTCTTAATTCATCTATATGTTGCAATTTTTTTTCTTAATTCATTTATTTATAAGTAAAACATATATTATTATATTCACAAGATTTTCAAAAAACCCCAGGAGTTTTTCGACCAACATTTTTCTTAATTCATTTACAAGTTGCAATGTTAGTCTTTTCGACCAACATTGTGTGTTTACTATTGTCCTTCCGACCACCATCGCATGTTGACTACGATTCTTCCCACAACCATCGTATGTCGATTGCAGTCCTTCCAACCAACGTCGTTTGCAAACTATGGTCATTCTGACCACCATTGTTGGCAAACTAAGGTCCTTCCAACCAACATTGCCTGTTGACTATGATTTTTCTGAACACCATCGTCCACCCACTATGATCCTTCCGAACACCATTGCCCATCAACTATGGTCCTTCTGATCACCGTCGCCCGCCAACTACGGTCATTCTGACCAATATCACTTGTTGACTATAGTCCTTCCGATCACCGTCGCCAGACTACGGTACTTCCAATCTTAGTCGCCCACCAACTATGATCTTTCCCATTACTGTCGCCCAATTACCGTCCTTCCAAACATTGTTGCCCGCCGACTACGATCCTTCCGACCAATGTA